AAGTCCCTTCCCACCCAAACCATTCCAGGATTCTGGAGCCCCTCTGCTCTGGAGCCAGGCTGGGAGAGCTGGGAATGTTCCCCTGGAGAAGGGAAGGCTCCAGGCAGAGCTCAGAGCCCCTGGCAGGGCCTGGAGGAGCTCCAGGAGAGCTGCAGAGGGACTGGGGACAAGGCCTGCAGGGACAGGAGCCAGGGAATGGCTCCCACTGGGAAAGGGGAGATTGGGCTGGGATCTTGGCAAGGAATTCCTGGCTGGGCTGGAATTCCCAGATTTGCTGTGGCTGCCCCTGGATCCCTGGCAGTGCCCAAGGCCAGGTTGGAGCACCCTAAGATGGTGGGAGGTGTCCCTGCCCATGGAAGGGCTTTAAGATCCCTTCCCACCCAAACCATTCCATGATTCCATGGCAAGGCTGTCCCAGACTGGAATGGCTGGATCATGGAATGGTGGGATAACCTGCTTCTTTCCCAGTTTTTCCTGTGGGGAAGGACCAGCTGGGATTTTAGGGGGCTGAGATCTCTCATCCTTGGAGCTGTTCCTTCTCGGGCTCTCCAGGTGCTCCCAGCAGGAAGGAGCTGGCTCAATCCCAGCTCAATCCATCTCCCATGGGATGCAGCATTGGGAAGTGCAGAGCAGCTCCTCGGATCCCTGGGATGTTCCTGCACCACCAAACAGATTTTCCTCATGTCCCAGCCCGAGCTCTCCCTCCCAGGGTGAGCAGCAGCAGCAGCTCCAGCGCTGAAATCGGTTAAAGCTGCTGTAAAATTCCAGAAAAAAGGAACATTTGAAGGCACTGAGATCCCCCTACACACTCACACTTTGGGAGGCCAGAAGAAAAACAGCTTTGAAGTGCTTAAAAACAAATCTGGGGCCTCGTTCATCTTCATTAATGAGATATTTAACCAGGCCCTTTTAATAACTTTTTGATGCCTGTGCCAAGTGAAAAAATAAAAAACATTTTCTGCTTAAAAGACCTTGAGTTTGGTCTCTTTGCTGATTAAAAACCATTATGCTCCATGCCTTTCCCTACCTTAATCCCTAAATCCTTGTGGTTTTTTTTCCAGGTGTCATCATCACATTCCCTTGGAGCAGCTTCTCCATGGGCACCACCAGGATTTGTTTTTATATTTATTTCAGGTTAGGGAAAGGAGGTGACTTCTGTCTTCTCTCCCAGGTTTTCCACAGGGCTTCCATGCAGGATTTAACCAATCCTGGAGAAATCAATGCTGCTGGATGCCTCTCCCTACCTGTTTGGGTGCGAATTATTCCTGGGCTGGAGTGGATTTTCTGCAGGAAGAACTGGGAATCAAAGCCATCCCGGAGCTCCTTCCCAAAACCATCCCGGATGGCTCCAAAGGTGTGGCCCTCCAGCACCTTCCCAGTGGAGATGGAATATTTAGAGCCAGTCAGGAACTTCTGAGCGAGTCCCAGCGTGGCTCTTCTGAACTCCGGGGTGGGAACCACCGATTTTGGGGGTCCTCGACTCCCAAAACGAAGGATTTGGGGAGGGAAAAGTCGTTTCATAAATCAAGCGTGGAGAACAAAGGCAGGGAACATGGAAAGCAGAGGGGAGACTTCCCTCTTTCTCCAGGAGCAGAAAAAGAGGGATGGGGATGGCAGCGTTGTTAAAGTGAAATCCCGACTGGAACGACAAAAGGAAAAGAAATTAAAGCCAGATTTGTTCCCCTGGGCCCGGAGGAAGGAGGATCCCGTTGGATTTGTTCCTCCTTTCTTGTTTCCTTCAAAGCCAGGAGATCAATTGCGAGCCTTAATGAGAACCGTCTCGTGCCAGAGGTGGACAATGGAGCGGGACGGGGACATCCCAGGGATTTTACGGCAGCTCAGAGCATTGGGATCCATCCCTGGAAGTGCCAGCCCATCCCTGGAAGAGCCAGCCCGTCGTCTCCGGCTTTTGTGAATATCCCAGCACTGAGCTTGAATGGGGAGCACTGGTAGCAATTCCCATCCTGATCCCAGGGATTGAAGTGTCCATCGGTTTGTCCTTGGTCCCACCCTTGTGATGGAATCTGGAAATTTGGGATCAGGATCTGGTTTTAAATCCCCCATCCCTGGGCTGTTGTGCTTTGTGAATATCCCGGCACTGAGCCCGAGCAGGGAGCACTGGCGGCAGTTCCCATCCCTGATCCTGGATCTGGGAAAGCAACTCAGCCTTCCTGGAGACCCTCAGGGAGATGGGGAGGGTCTCAGGGAGATGGGAATGGCCTTGGGGAGATGGGAAAGGCCTCAGGAAGATGGGAATAGCCTCATGGAGATGGGAATGGTCTCAAAGAAACAGGGATGGCCTCAAGGAGACGGGGACGGCCTCATGGAAGCAGGGACGGTCTCGGGGAGATGGGGATGGTCTCAAGGAAGAGGGAATGGCCTCGGGGAGATGGGAAAGGCCTCAGGAAGATGGGAATGGCCTCATGGAGATGGGAATGGTCTCAAAGAAACAGGGATGGCATCACGGTGACGGGGATGGCCTCATGGAAATGGAGACGGCCTCATGGAGATGGTAACGGTCTCAAGGAAATGGAAATGGCCTCAGGAAAATGGGAATGGCCTCGGGTGATGAGGATGGCCTCAGGGAGAGGGAAATAGCCTTGGGGAGAGGGGAATGACCTCGGGGAGATGGGAATGGCCTCATGGAAATAGGAATCACCTAGGGGAGACGGGGATGGCCTCATGGAGATGGGAATGGTCTCAATGAAACGGGCATGGCCTCAAGAGACGGGATTGGACTCATGGAAATGGGAATGGCCCTGGGGAAATGGGAATGGCCTCAAGGAGATGGGAATGGCCTCAAAGACATGGGGATGGCCTCAGGTAGAGATGGGAATGGCCTTGGGGAGAAGGGAATGCTTCAAGAAGACAGGGATGGCCTCAGGGAGAGAGGAATGGTCTCGGGGTGACGGGGATGGCCTCAAGGAAATGGGAATGGCCTCAGGGAGAGGGGAATAGCCTCATGGAAATGGGGATGGCCTCAGGGAGATGGGGATGACATCAGGGAGACAGGAATGGCCTCATGGAGACAGGGATGGTCTCAAGGGAAGGGGATGGCCTGGGGGAAAGAGGAAGGGCTTCAAGGAGATGGGGCCAACCTAAGGGAGATGGGAATGGCCCCATGGAAATGGGAATGGTGTCATGGTGATGGAAATGGCCTCATGGAAATAGGAATGGCCTCGGGGAAATGGGAATGGCCTCATGGAAACAGGAATGCCGTCACAGTGGCGGGAATGGCCTCGGGGCCATGGGGATGGCCTCATGGAGATGGGAACAGCCTCAGGGAAACTGGGGTGGTTTCACAGTGACGGGGATGGCCTTGGGGAGATGGGAATAGCCCCAGGGAGATGGGAATGGCCTCGGGAAGTGGACACTCAACTTATGCCAATATCGAGGCCCCATCTCCCACACCAAATCAAGAATGACACAACAGGGGGGATAAAATTCCCAATCATCCTGGGAATCCCCTCCATGTCCCTCTCCGTGGGTGGCAGCAGGAACTGGGAGAGTCTGGACGCATCCCGGAGCAGTGGAGCCTCCCAAATCCGCGGAGCCGCCTCTTCCGAGGCCTCTGTGCCGGACCCTGGGGATGAATCTTCTTTCAGAGCGAATTCTTTGCTCTGTCACCCGATCGGCCTCGGTCCTGGAGCTCAGCGAGAGAGGGACCTTGCAGGGCAGCTGAGGGGGGAGGGCCCTGCTAATCACCCCGGGCTCTTAATGAATGCAAATGAGCTCTGACCGAGGGGAATTCAGATACCTCCTCATTCCCAACTGTTAACAACTTCCTGCCCAGATCCTGGATCCCTGGAAATCTCTGGGCAAAGGATTCATCCTGAGGTCTCCTCATCTGGACTGTCTGAGGCTCATTTGGGGATTTATTTGGGTTGAGGATGCTCAAAGGGGGCAACACCCCCATTATCCCACTTATTCCTAAAAATCCTGATTTCCCTTGCCTTCCTCATTTTGGGGTATTCCATGCAGGAAAATGGGGTTTGCCTCATAGAAAAACTCCCAATTTCCCTTCCCATCTTCAGTCTGGGATATTCCATGCAGGAAAATGGGGATTTTTCTGCTAAAAATCTCCTGATTTCTCTTCCCATCCTCAATCTGGGATATCCTATGCAGGAAAATGGGTTTTGCCTTGTAGAAATCCTAAAAATGGCTCAAACCAAATACAAATTATTTTCCCTGAGTTTTAACTGGTAGCATGGATTAATTTTAATTTTAAGGCAATTTTCCAAGAAAGAAAATGAACTTTCTGTGGTTTTTCTTTGAAGGAAGGAAGTTTCTGTGAGTTTTCCTAAAAATAATGACAATTTCTGAGTTTTCCTTAAAAAAGGGGGAATTTTCCTAAAAATAATGGAAATTTCTGAGTTTTCCTAAAAGCAAGGGAAGTTTCTGTGAGTTTCCCTGAAAGCAAAACTCAGCTCTGTGAGAGGAATGGGACAACCTTCCTGGAACTCAGTGATCCTAAGGATGACCTGGGGAAATCTTTCCTGTGTGTTTCGGGATGTGCAGAAACACTCAGAGCCAGCATCACCCAGGAGTGATATCCTGATTTATTCCATGGATTTCCATGGGCCTGTTGTGTTTCCTTGGAACCACAAGGCCCCATCAGTGGTTTGGAAGATCCAGAGTGGTTCTGTTGGAAAGGGGAAGAAGGATTTTGGGAAGGAATGGAGCCGTGGTGCTTTCAGCTTCTTTCCACAACCCTAAAGGAAGTGGAAAACTCCCCCAAACTTCCCAAAATTTCCCCAAACCAGGAAAAATTTGATCTGGAAATCTCTCTTTTCTTCCTCTTCCCCAATCCCTTCCTCACTCCCAAACTTCCCTCACATTTTCTGGGAATGGAGGAGAAAATCCCTTCTTGCTAAGATAAAAATCCCACTTATTCCACATGGAACAAGCTCCCATCCCTTCTCGATCCCACTTTTCTGGGCCACCTCTGTCCTCAGGGTGACATCCTTGCTCCAGGGCCTCATTCCAGAGGTTTTTCCCTGTTTTTAAGGCTCCTTGGCCTGTGGGGTGGGTGAGGGGTCCCTCCCTCAGGATGGGCCCAAAATTTTGGCTGTTTGAGTCAAAAAAAGGGAATTTTAAAAAGATCCCAAAGAGAAAAGTGGAATTTCAGGAGTCCTTGAGGAAACAAGGGGTACCGAGCCCTTCGCCTTGGCAGCAAATCCCACCTGGAATTTCCTCTGGATAGGGTTGGCATTTGGGGCTTGATTTGGTTCCTTTCCTTTCTTTCCTCCTCCCTTTTCCCTTTTTTCCCTGTGGGTTCAGCAAGGAAAACTGTCAGGATTCAGGGATGAGAATGGAGCCATGGGCTCAGCTCCAGCCTTGAATTTCCGCTCCACAAATTCCCTTAAGATTTAAAACCTCTTTTCCCAAGGATTTTGGGATGAGTGGGAAGAGGGATGGGTGCAGACAGGTGGAAGGGAGCAGGTGAGAATCTTCAGCACAGGGAGAAGGATGGAAATTCAGGATAATGGGATCAATCCCAGCCCCCTTCGCAGGGAGGAATTCCTGGATTTGGAGAGAGCAAACACTGGGGATATTCCCATTCTGTGGGTCCTTGGAGCTGCCTCCTCATCCAGGTTTTATATTCAAATATGTGGGATATAAATAATGTTTTAACAATGACTCCAAAATCCCATTTATAAAAATATCCTTGGATATTTTATCCACGGATTTCCCCTGGATTGCATTCCCTGGAATTTTGTGTTGGGATGAAGGGAGAAAATTCTCTGGGGTTTCTTTTCCTTCTGGAGTGGGGGAAGATGGTTCTCGTTATGCCTTCGGAATTTTCTCCATGGCCTGGAGAAGACTGGAGGCTGGAATCTTGCAAGAATGCACAAACCCCTCACATCCAACCTTTTTTTGGGAATTATTGGGAGATTCAGGCCAGGGAAAAGCTGAATGGGTTGGAAAAAGGGGCTGAAATTTGGGAGGATGGATTTGCTGGCAGCAGATTAAAAAAAAAAAAAGGAAGATTGTTTGGAAAACCAGGATAAATCCCAGGCAGTGCTGGCAGGTTGGGATTTAAAGGAGATTTTTTTTCAGGAATGTTTGGCAGAGAAAGAGAGATGAAATAAATTATCTGAAATAAATAATTTAAAAAATTTTAAGAGGGGATACTCAGGAAAAGGATCTCTTCTTCCTGAGGAGAATTCCAAACTAAGAGACTTTAAGGAAAAACTCGGGATACCTGGGATTATTCACAGAAAATATTCCCAGTTCCATCACCGCTAATCTGACCCAGAAGTGAGAGGAAAATCCTGCAAAATTCTCCTAATTGG